CCTAACAGGGTCCCCCTGCAGCTTCCCTGGACACCCTACAGATTCCTGGGAGGTTGCTCTGAGGTCTCCACACAACCTTGTCTTCTCTAGGCTGAATAGGCTGAACTCTCAGCCTGTGCTCGTAGGGAAGGTGCTCCAGTGCTCTTATCAAATCCTCTCATCAACTTCAACATCTGATACAACTATTTAGAGATGACCTAACTAGAACTTGTTCTGTGAAATTCTGCTCTTTGTTTTGAAATTCACCCCCACACCAGCAGCATATCTGTCTGCTATTAGGAAATGTGACAAGCACTCATCTCTTTGCAGGTCTGCAGAAGCAAAATCCTAGTTAACATATTTTGAACAGGCATTTCGGTTAAATACAGCTATTTTTTGAAACAGAATAATGCTACTTACCATCTAGCTCCTTCTCAATGAAATCCATTCTGTGTATGACTTCATCCTGCAGAGATTCCACGTGAGCTAAAAGATTGAGCTGCCACTGCAGCTGTGAGTTCACAACTCCTTCTTTGTCTTTTTCCAGCAATTTCATTTCAATAGCTTCCTCTGGAGAGACCTTCTTCGAGGCAGACTCCCTCACCTGGCAGAAACACACACTTTAGTGCTTGCTGGGGAGCCAAACTGCCTTGCTCCTGTCACCCAAGCTCATTGCTCAACTCATCTTGGGCCAGTGGGGGAGAGAGACACAGAGATCATAGATAAATATTACATTGGTATAGGCAAGAGGATCAAAACATAAATATACTTTTCTAGGTATTTTGCTAGGAACGATTCTTTGCACTTCAACAAGCATCTGATTTTCCCAAGATAACACACATGTAGTTACCTCCCTGCCACATTTCACCTGGAAGATCCTGTACTGAATCTGTGCATCCCAAGAAATACTGGAGCCATTTTTCCCTTGACAGTAATCAACTGAAGAGCAAATGATTCTGCAGTGAGAAGGGATTTGTCCTTAAAGAATCTAATCTCAATTCTACTGAAACTTTGACTGCAGCATCTCTCAAAACAAGCACTACCAGCCCTTCCAAAGCTTGACTACACTGTCAACATGTTCATTCTGCTCCTCTACTTTTTTCACCCTTCTGCTGAAACATGACAGGATTTAGAAAAAGGCTCCTTTAGACTGAAGAACTAAAATAAATGCCTTTCTGGGAAATACAACTCCATCTCAACTGACTGACAGAGAAGTTAAAAATAAATTACAGCTTATATATGCATGGACTAGGGGCTGAACAAACCTTCAATCTAAAAGAGGGAGGTCAGTATTTCATAGAATCATAAAACTACACAATAATTTGGGTTGGAAAAGGCCAATCCAGTCCAACCCCTTTTCAGGGACACCTTCCACTAGCCCAGGCTGCTCCAAGCCCTGTCCAGCCTGGCTCTGAACACTCCCAGGGTTAGGGCAGCCACAGTTTCTCTGGGCAACCTGTGCCAGTGTCTCAGCACCCTCACAGGGAAGAATTTCTTCCCAATATCTAATCTAAATCTACCCTCCTTCAGCTTAAGGCCATTCCCCCTTGTCTTGTCCCTCCAGGCCCTTGTCCAGTTCTCCTGGAGCCCCTTTAGGCATGGGAAGGGGCTCTAAGGTCTCCCCAGAGCCTTCTCTCCCCCAGCTCTCCCAGCCTCACTCCATGGCAGAGCTGCTCAATCCATTCCCTAGCGAGTTTCTAACATTTCTCAGACCACATTTCATGTGAATTGGCACAAACTAATCAAAGCCAAACTTTGGTACTGGGGTGTAAAAGAAAGGCCCCTGCTAGGCCTGACACAGCTGACAAGGAGAACCAAGCACAAAGCTACACCTGGTACATTTAGCTATCAGACATACCCAGAAACTGGCTGCGCAGTGCCTCTGCTGTGATCCCACTCTCACACACCTGTCCTGTTCTCTCTTTGCCATTGCTAGTGTTTATTGCCACATTTAACACAGAAAAGCAGCAATGAACTGCCAGTGGACCACAGTGCATGGTCCAGACCTTTCAGGTGATTTGAGGGCCAGAAGTCAACCTAAGCTTTTAAACTATAATTGGAAATGAAGGAACTGATCATCTCGCTCATTTTAATTCTTACTGGCAGCTTAAATTTAACAGTATAAGGAAAAACTAAACACGAGCAAACCAAACACTACTAGGAAAGGCTGAGGTTTGCACTCTGCCAGGCAAACACGCAGGGAGAGCCATTTCAACACAAATACCTTAGAGTAATTGTGTTTGGATTCGTTTTCCATCCTGCATATTTCTTGGTCCAGATTCCAGCCAAATCTCTCTGACAGGGTATCATCTCCATTTTCCCGTATCCTATTCACTCCATCATCCATGGCTGAGCCTCTTGTTTCCACCACCAGCCTCTGCTCTATGGCAGGGTAGTAGGCCCGAGGCTTCTGGTAACAGTGCTCACTCGTGATGTAAGACTCCTCCACAGAGGGAATGGTTGAGGGTTTGTCCACTGTCCCATTCCAAGTTCTATAACCTGCAGTCTCCTCTTTGCAGCAGTTTTCCTCAAAGTGAATGATGTGTTTTGTATGGATTTTCTCATCCACTGTGATGTGCTTCCACGGATGACACCAAAGCTTTAGGTCAGGATGTTCTTTATTCCTATTCAAACAGAAAAAGTAAACCACCCAATTTAAAAGTCAGAGTGACTGAGCAAACTATCCTATTACATAAGGAAATTAAAAATATTTGAACCAGTCACCATAACCACTAAAAAAAAAAAATCCCCAAATACTCTGAAATAACATCATTTCACTGACCTCAACTGGGCATCTTCCTACAATGCTGTGGTAGGTTCACTATGTTCATTTCTATAACATGGCACATAAACCAAGCATTGGCAATAAGAAAAACAAACACTGAAGAGTAAGTTTCAAATAGACACACACAACTCCTCACCAATGCTGCCCTTCAAGGAACATTTTGCTTCAATATTTGCAATTTCTTAACAGCATAGATCAATTTTCACTGGGATATTTTTACCAAGGTGTGATATACCAACACAGTCCCCTCCACTGGTCTTAGAAAAACTCTTATTTTAATTTTAAATAACTACCATGTTATTTATTCCAGCAGAAGGGACAACCAGAGGTATTTTTTATTATTTATTACTATTTGCTTTTATATTGTTATTTATTATTATTTATTATGATTTACTACACAGCTATAGCAAAAATATTATTTTCTATTAATTTTCATTATTATTACACAGATATAACAAAAATATTTGAGTGACCATTGCTACTGGTATTTTTCTAAGTGCTGTAAGAATGCTGCCATAGGTCACATGCCTATCCTCTTACTTGCATCTATTTAGATGCTTCAGGAGAAGCTGTTGTTGTAAGTTTTCCCCCCTCTTCCCTCCACACTTTCCCAACTCCTTGATAAACATTGCCCATTTACACCCAACACACTTGAATAGCTTTTGAGCATCCAAGTTCTTTTCCAAGATCACATGCTATGAATCCACAAAAAAGCACAAACGTAAGTCTGCATTTCTGGTTAAATTCTGGTCAGTTTTCTACTATTTGCAATATCTAATTGCTTGTGAGAACATGTCAGCTGGTACTTAAGCACTGCTTACTGTAATATGCTCATCTTCAGCTGCAGCCCATGCAGGACTTCTATCACTCTCTGCACATCCCCAAGAAGCTGGTGAGTGGCTACTATCTTCTTGGCATTCTGGTGGGAATAATTCTCTTCCAAAAATGCTAAGCCATGCATGTGACCATTACTCAACCACTCCTTCTCATACCAGTACTTCAGGCTGGACCTCTGACCTGAAGGGACAGCAATGAGAGGGTTAAAATGAAGCATTAACTGTGGTTGACAGTTACTGATTATCTCCAAGTCTTGCAACAGCTTATTTCTTACCAACAGTACCAATAAAGACTTCAAACAGCAGACAAAACCCTGAAGAAATGAAGAACTTGTGAAGTAGTAAGGCAAAAACTTCTCCCTAAATGTAAAAGCATTGAGAGCCCAAACTCCAGCCCAGGACACCCACAAGAGGCAGCTCCAGCTGAGGCAGAGAGAGCTGTATTTTTACCAGGATCTCACACTGTCCAGTCTAACCATGGTTATGGCTGGAGCCAGAGTCTGAACATAGCTCTCTGCAGACAAACATGCAGAAAAAGGCAGTGAACTTCCTGGTGGGTTTGTTTCTAAGCCACCACGTGTAATAGTATAGGAGGACATTTTAAAGGAACCAGTGGTAAGGTTCTGAGGGAGAACTTGCCTAAGCCAGGCTACAAATACTGGTAATGTTAGCTTAAGAGGTTGGAATATTAACAACAGCTGAAACAAAATGATGTTCAATGTGACAAATGCCTCAGTACAAGTAACTTAAGCAGTCAAGCAAAGCAGCAGAGAGTAAACTGCAGATGCTTGCTGAACTGCAAACACACAAACAAAAGAATCCAAGTCAATACCCAACAAAAGTCCTCTGCAGCCTGGAGAATGTACTGTTACAGCAGATGCTGTAGTACATCTGACTATAACAGCACAATCCATGTACATAAAACAAAAAGATCTTTTCATTAGGTGAGCGGAGGTCCATTTTCTTGCCATCTATAAACATGGACTCATCCATTTCCACTTTCAGCAAGGACTGGCAATTCAGAGAGTAAGAAGTCAGAAAGGATTCACCTAAGTGTAATTTTACCCGCTGTATAAAAAGATGAGGCATTAAAAAATACGTAGTTAAAAGTAGAGAACACATTGCTTAATCAGTTCTGGCTGTGTTACTCAGGATAAATACCAATACACAGGTTCTCAGGTACTGCAGCCAATGCCAAGGGCCACACCTGTGCAGGGCCAGGACCCTTGTACTGACTGGTCTTCGTCCTGGCCTAGCTGGGGTAGAGCTGCAGCCACATCTCCTGAGATGTGCCCACAGGGAGGCTTTGCCTGAGCTTCACCAGTGCTTATTTTCCACAGTCAGACAGCACAATTCTTGTAACACCAAACACGTGACAGACGGTCACCACAGTGATTCCTTTCCATTCCTGCCCACTGCAGTGCCACAACATGGACTCATGGACATCCATATAACTTACACTTTCTGTAACTGCAAATTACCTACACAGTGACAGATATGGACTGGGGGGGAAGTAGTTTCATCCTTGAAATACATACACACACACACACACACACAAATTTACTACACATATAAGAAGGGCCTGTAACCCTAAATTTCTGTACCTGGAGGATCTTGGCAAACATAACAGGTGTACTTCTCAGGTACATTATCTTCCAGTAAGCCCATGCAGACTCCATGCTGCCAGCACAGACACTCTTCACACTGTTCAAAGTCAAGAAGTGCATATCAACAGAAGTGAAGGCTACAGGAGCTCATTACCATTACATCAATTAAGAGAGACAGTATCTACACATTTTAAGGCAAAAAGGTGTGTTAATACCCACCCACCCCCTTCCAGCTACAAGCAAATACATTACAGAATCAGATTACAATAAAATCTGAGCCCTTCCCACACATTTTTCATACTATTTCTGGAGAACGACAACCATTATGAAGTGGCAGCAGAGATCCTGAAAGGTGTGAAAATGTTCCCTTTGGACCTGGAGATCTTCCATGAGATGTATGTGCACATAACCAGGACAGCAAACACTATGCAATCAAGCTTTCTTCAGCGAAATAGATCCATTTTTCTGAGTTAAGAAGTTTCCCCCTCAAGCAGCAAACTAAAAATCCCAGAGATACTTGTGTCTCACAGGACTGCCAACATTACGCTTTACTGATTCTTGTACCTCTGGCATTTTATTCCTTTCAAAGGTAGCTCTACTGACACAAACCTGCAGTGCAGAAGCAGCTGTACCAGCTCTAAAAGCTTCCAGCATCCTTCCAAGGGTGGGCAAAGACTGAATAAAGTTTGGATCTGCTCAGCACAGTTATACTACTGAACATGAAATCACTGTTCTTAAAGCCACACAGTTCTAGAGCAGGGAAAAACCATATTCACATCTTCTGTCACTTTCTCCTCCCCTCCCACATGTTAACATGGGACCAAGTTTTGACTTTAGCCTAAAACCCACTGACAGATGGCACAAAACCCCAGCTAGGAGTATAAAGTCAATTTTGATTTGAAACTGTGCTGCCAGTTCAGAATCACTATTTCCCCAAGCAGTGAGACAAGAGCTCATACCTTTTATAAGCATAAGCCAAAAAGCATAATGCAGAGAATCTCATCAGTGTTGGCACAGGACTTCAGTATGAGCTAAAACAAACCCAAACAGCAACTGCAACCTCAGAGGCTGCTGCTCACTGACCTATGAAGATGCCACCTTGCTAAACATCTTATCTCTGTTCAACACCACTTACTCCACTTTATTCATGCTCCTCTAATGTGGTGCCTTTCCTAGGAGGGACAGAAAGGGACAACCAGATCTGGAATATTCACTGCATTAAAGGAGTGGTCTAAGCATGGGGAAAATAGAAGCTCTGGGAACAGAGAATGTAAAAGGTTAGAGAGAAAGAGGTTTCTGAAGGATGGGACTAACAGTGGTTTGTCTTACAAAAATCTTTTCAAAAGAGACCACCCTCCTTTCACAAAGGGGATTATCAGGAGGCAGAAAAAGGTGTTTCAAAACAAAGAAGACACATTATGAAAAACAGACTGTGTGCTAAAAATAACAAAGGAGATTCTGGACCTAGTCACACCTGCATCCAATACAACATGTCATGAAGCACAGGGCTGCCCTCAGTGATTTTCCAGGCAAATTTGCCCAGAACTCTAGTGAAGCATCCCAACGTTTTTTTTTTTAATTTTACTCAGCTGCTTTTTAAATATCCTCCCCATCAGGGCACGGGTCCTTCCTTTCACCTGCAGGTTCTCCTGCACAGCGTGGCTGGCCAGTCTACTGCTCTGCACACATGCTACAGGGAAGCTGCCCCTACCCAGGCAGCAGTAGGGAGACTCAAAGTACACCAAATAAGAGACTTAGAAGAGGGAAAACATGCAGCATTGTGCAAAAGGGTTTAAATCAAAATTCAAGTACAAAATAAATAACTGAACCCAAAGGACATAGACTTCTAGCAGCTTTTCACCTTCTAGAACAAGAGTATCCCAAGTCCATTACATCACTCACCTCAGATGCCCCCCAAATGCAGCCCTGGAATTCCTGCATCATACACAAATTCGCCAATGTTTAGGTTTAAAAACACAAAGTGAAGAGACAATGACTGTCTGGACTTTTTGGGGCCCAAGCCTGCCCATACAAAGGACTGCTGTAGCTCCAGGAGGAACACAGGGCAGCACTGCTTCACACAGGGTGCATAAAGGAAATCCAGGAACCTCCTGGCAGACACTGCAACCAAACAGCACTGACCAACGATGTCCTGGGGTTTATACCTTTCTTTCCCAGATATAGCTTCTACTAACCAAAGCTTCTAGAAATGCAAACCCAGATTTCTGCACCCCAGTGCAGTGAATGACATTCTTCATGCTCAAACTCCTCAGGGCAGTTAATTTAAGGCAAGTTCAGAATAAAGAGAGAGTTTTTCACAAAATCTCTGAGCTGAATTGTGATCAGTTTAAATACCCAAATGGAACAAACTCCCATTTGAACCATGTATGAATTTCATTAAATCTTAATGATCCCCAATCTTCCAGGGAAAACAAAGGTGCTTTTCCCTCATTATTTCTAAATTGGGCACATTCATGGAAATGAGCAGAGCTCAGAGAGAAAATTACTTACCACAGCCTCTCCTGTAAGAGGAGAAGGGATCCATGTATCCTGGGAGAAATGAACCTCCAGCCACGTGAATGAGAAAACTGCCCTGGCTCTCAATCCCTGCACCAAGCCAAGGCAGGTGGGCACACAGCCTGCTCCAGCAGACACCCAGGTGCCAGCACGTTTCAGTCGGAATAATGAAGCAGGGGAAGAACACTCTCAAGTGTCCTTCTAAAACCCCATACCCTGAGCAAAGTGACCCATCTTCAGAAAGAAGGGACCAACCTAAACTCAAGCTCTGAGGGCAGACAGCTCTGAATTTAGTTTCCAAGTGTCAGATTGAGCATGAGTAGGAAACAGGGGAGGAACCTTTCCTCATTATAAAGTTATGACAAAAACACAGGATTCTTACTCTGTGAAGCCAAAGGGAAGTGTCAATCCTGGCACTCCACCTCTGTAAACAGGCTCCCTTTGTGACAATCCCAGTCGTGTAACATAGCAGCTTTGCTTTGTATTAATGCTCTGCTCTTAAAGAGTGAACTCAGCCATTTCTGTATCAAAAACAGACAACCATTTCCCCTCAAAATCCAGGTGACAGAAAGCTGTGGGGAGCACAGAATTTGGCACCTTAAGCAAGTCACCTGTCCAACCTACATCTCCATCACCCCCAACATCTTGTTACCAGCTCCTTGCTTCCCCATCCCTACTGCCTCAAGCCCCATCAAGAATGCATGTACTCACCACACTGTCCATCTGCATCTCTGTTCCAGAGAGAAAAACCTGCTCTCCTAGACAATTCTTTCATAAAACAGTTGAAATGTATAAAACTACGCAATATATTGAAAAAAACCCCAAACTTTTTCAACCTAGAAAACCAATCTTAGAAGCAGCCCACGAAACCTCACAGGAGAGCTATCCGTAGGCTGTGCCCTGAGCCAGCTGACAGTTCCCAGTTCTGCAATCCTAGTGTTGAACTGATCTTTCTCAGAAAGTTATAGGCCAGACTATCTCTTTCTGTTTTCCTTTGAGCCATCTCACCACTGTAAGACTCCTCTTCCTCCTGTACACTCTGATCATGTTTACTTAATCAGAGAATCAAGGCTGGCGGAGACACCCAGAATCAAGTCCAACCATTAACTTGTCACTGCTGTAACCTCTAAACCCCAAACCATATCCTCCAGTGCCAGATCCAGACACCTCTTAAACTATATCCAGGGATGGTGATTCCAGCACCTCTCTGGACAATTCCTTATTCCAGTGCTTTAACACCCCAACAAGGAAAAACTGTTTCCTAACATCTCCTCTGACTCACCCCTGTCTCAGCTCAAGGCCATTCCCTCTAGTCCTCTCCCTGGCAGGAAGGGGGAAAGAGATGGGGGACAATTTACAAACAGCTCAAAAAGCAAAAGTTAATAGGCAGGGCACTTCCAAAGCAGCTTTTATCAGCAGTTTTGAGCAGAAGAAATAATAGAAGGTGCTCCGAGTTTTCTACGAAGTTGTTTAAAAGGAGCACATACCTTATAGAGATTAGGAACTTAGAATTTAGAAACTAGTGCAGAATGGACAAATGCAGCTCTGCTTTAAAGCAAAATACCTATTTATTTATGATTTTTTAAGTCAAGCCTCTTGCAGAGCAGAGGAGTGGAAGGGTACCACCATCTCAGGGCAATGTCTCCATGCTCAGAACTGGAGGGTGGCAAACACAGCAGATAAAAAGCCACTGATTTCAAATACGCATTCTCAAAATCCAGCAAGGTTCTCATTTTTTAGAAAAATGCAACTGCACAAGTGACTAGCCAACTGGTTATGACTTGTGGAGAATTCTCCCTCTTTCCCCACTTTCCTTGGATTAAAAATACCAAAACTGCACTATAGAGTAAAAGTAGTTTTAACTGTCAGAGCAGTTACTCACCCTGGCACATTACCTTAAAAAATATTATGATTTGGGAGGACAACAAGAGTTTATTTCATGTACCAAACAAAAGCTTTTCCACTGACACGGCCCACTGTAGTCACTGAAATGAGCATTTCCCCTTCACTTCATACCTGAATCATGAAGTCATTTTCTTCCTTTACTTCACAAACACAACGAACAATCTCAAAATCACTTTCTTCAACTTCTTCATCAGGGTTGGTGGTTACATCAACATCCTGACTGCAGTCATCGTCACTCCACAGCAAGCTGTCCATAGATGACTCACTCAGGGTGTCATCCTCTGCACAAGAAATATTTACAAAAACTCCTGAGTGACTACAAGAAAGGTCAAACAGCCCTCAGGATCTCATCCTGGGTATGCAGACACACACTCCTAAAAGCAGGAGCTCACATTGCAATTTAAGGAACATGACAATTGAAGGTTACTGTATCATGAAGTTTCATGTTCTCACTAACAGCTCCTTCAACATATTCCAACTCAACAGTTTCTACTGTCAACATAGAGTGTCTCAAACAACAGGCACAAAGTCTCTTGAGACCATAAGCACAACAAACAAAACCAGGCTTGTACATTCAACACCAGCTGCTGCAATTTGTACAGAACTGTGACTTGACACTAAGTGTAGAGCTCCCAAAAACAGAGTTCTGTTTTATGAACCATTCAGTCTCACAAAGTCACATCTCCATGACAAAACCATTCAGAGGCCAACATGGAATTTAATCCTGCTGCAGAAATTACTATTTTCATTTAGTCTCCTGTTCAGGAACATTTATCAACTCAGGGGCAAAGCACTGCCCAAGGTTTCCTTCCAGAACAGCCACACTGCTTAAGGAAAGCATTAATGCACCTCAGGATTGAATAACATTGCCACGAAAATCTTTACTGTGCTAAACTGACATTCTTACCTCAGTAATATTAAGGCAATGTCTGCATCTCCCTTGGGGATAGAATGGGAGGGTCGGGGAAGAAGACAATGATTTTGATCATTTGGAAAAATCTACTAAGTTGGAAGGGAGTGGAAGGCAAAAATTTTAGTCAGTCTTAAATGAGACTGTAGGGTCTCAGCTGTAGTGGGTAGAACTATTTTGATCACTCATAGAATGCAAAAACAGAATCATCAGTCTCTGGTATAAACTAGAACTGTTGGAGAAACATCTGTTCTCAAATTCGAGGGGCTGAGAACCCAATGCCACAGTTTATTTTCATGCTCAAACATTTTATTCCACCTCTGACTAGGACCCTCTTTCCCAAGAACCCTGGCGTGACAGGTTAGGCACACTGCACTGCCATGTTACACACAGGAGTTTCACTGTGCTGACACCAGACCCTGCTCATCTAGGCACAGCTTTTATTGTTGGTACAAGTTCTGTAGATGCAGAAAGCAGTAAAGCAATTGTGAAAAGGATGAAATAAAACCATTTCCAGTATTTTCCACCATTTTCAATGTCTATGAACTGATCAAAAGGAGTCTCAGCAACTGATAGCAAAGTTATTTAACTGTATGTTCTATGGGTGGTTTACTCCAAAAACTGCTCAGACTCACAGAATGTATTTCAGGATATTTCCATCATCTGCACGTCAACAGCTTTTGCAAGTACAGTGGAGTTAAATGAAGTGAATTTTCACTTTGCCTAATACCAAATAATGAAATTCGTGTCAAAAAAACCCCACAACAAACCCAAACTCAAATGAGCCTCAACAATGTATCTGTGCAACAAGGAAACCAAGGTTCTGGTATATACTCAAACTGACACACATTTCCTATTTCCTTCAAGCTTCTGAGCTTTAAGGAGAAAGAGCAAAACGTTTGTAGTCTTTTTTTATTACACCTGCCTGTGACAGTAAATAGCAAGATGGATCAAGATATTAAGAACCATGAGGACTGGGACACAGAAGCCACATTTTAATGAGTTCTGCTTATGAAGTACTATGAAGACACCAATAAACAGACACTCAAGAGCTTCTTATCATTATAGTTTCATAGTATGTGAAGGGGTTGGAATGGACCTTAGAGATGATCCAGTCCCAGCCCCCTGCCCTGGGCAGGGACACCTCCCACCAGAGCAGGTTGCTCAAGGCTTTAGCCAACCTGGCTGTGAACACTGCCAGGGCTGGGGCAGCCACAGCCTCCCTGGGCAACCTGGGACAGTGTCTCACCACCCCCACAGCAAAAACTTCTGCCTGATATCTAGTTTAAATTTAGCCCCTTCAGCTCCTGGCAGGTTGCTCTGAGGTCTCCACACAACCTTCTCTTCTCCAGGCTGAACAGCCCCAACTCTCTCAGCCTGTCCTCATAGAGAAGGTGCTCCAGTGCTTTGATCAGCTCTGTGACCTCCTCTGGGCTTGTTCCAACAGTTTCATGTCCTTCTGATGTTGGGGACACAGACACACATGCAGCACTCCAACTGGGTCTCATGAGGGCAGAGGGGGAGAATCCCCTCCCTCACCTGCTGCCACACTCCTTTGGTTGCAGCCCAAGGGAGATTATGAATCTCAAAGTCATTATAACCACCTATCATAACACATCTATTAAACAACACATCACCACACTGAGTGGTCTCAAACACAGCACATGCTGCAGCAACCTGCACAGCACCTATTTTAGCTCTGAAGTTCTTACTTCATAGAAAACTTTTGGAAATAGGACAAATTTAATTCTAAAGTCTGAACATGACTATTCTAGAGTTAATATGGTGCTGCAAAATGTGTTTGATTTCTGAAATAAGGCTAACATCCTTAAAGCTTCTGTGAAGGTAAAGTCAAAGTAAAAAGCAGTAGCTCTGCCAAACAAACTGGGTTCAGCTTTTTCAGGCAGAGTCAATGAAACAATCAGTTTTCAGGTATGTTAGTGAGCTCATATTTACTGGCAACGAAAGACAGAGCTAAATAAATCATAGAGGAGAGTCATCTCACCATTTGCCTTCGATTTCCCCCTGTGCTGCCCGTGCTCAGCGCAGTGCAGCAGCGTGCTGGCGTGTGCAGATGATTTATTTGAAGAAACACCTTTTGTGACAACTGATTTCTCAGGAGAAAGCTCCTGCGAGATATCTGTGTTCTCCCCAAGGCCAGCATACTCTGCAAAAGAGTAGGAAGTGCTACTGTTAAAAATCTGAGGTCAGGAACAGTTGACAAAAGAAACCAACACCATGCATGGCCATATAGCAGGCACATGTAGTCACTGAGCCAGTTCCTACTCCACATGCTTGGGCCCTGGGACTTCACAGTGCTGCTGGAAAATGTGCAAGCTTTCTAGAGGCAAGCTGTTGCCAGAAGCAGAAAATCTGCTGATGCTCAGTGGCTGTTCACAGCTGACAGAAGTGAGAAAGGTTTAAGTTGGGCCTTTCCAGCCCAACTACTCTTCAAGGGGTGTAGGTCTACAAATGGCACTGCTGGCTGGAGACCTGCCCCTCACACGGGCTACACACATTCCCTCATCTCACAGACTTCAAAGTGGACAGGAAGCACTCTGTTCATACAACCATCAAGGTTGGAGGAGACATCTAAGATCACAAAGTCCAATCATTAACCTGTCACTGCTGTAACCTCTAAACCAGACCCTCCAGTGTCAGATCCAGACACCCCTTAAACACCTCCAGGGATGGTGTCTCCACTCCACCACCTGGCAGTTCCATATTCCAGTGCCTGAACACCCTCACAGGGAAAACTGTTTTCCAGTATCTAACCTGAATTTCCTGTCTCATCTTATGGCCTAGTGTATGTATGGAATGGGATGCACAGGTGGAAAAGGGTTAGGAGTGTCTAGAGAAAACACCTGGAATGGTTTCTCTCTGGAGGTGCCCATCTCTCATGGCTACACTGTATAGACACCAAGGCTGGCTGCAATGGCAAGCAGCACCCTCCATTGACCTGGGGAAAATCTTCACAGTTCCTGGACTGAATAACCACAAGAGCAACATCAAACAAGGCAAGCAACATCTTCAAACCCAAGGAGAGATGGACGAGCAGCTCATGGGTACCATTTGTGTGACTACTGCATACATTTAGAGACCACACTGTGCATATTTTCACTCTATGTCAGAGCACCATACTATCAGAAACTTGTTAAAATGATTTGTTTCAGTACAATTCTGAGTCAGCTAGCCTATGGTTCTTCCCATCCACTCTCTGGATAGCTTGCTCTATTTCTTCATGGCAGCGAACAGAAAGATAAAGTATTTTCTTTCCAGCTCAAAAACTCCTCCACAAGGAGATGTAGTTTCACGAATTACACGTGGCAGACTGAAGTGTGCTGCATCAGTGATTCCACACATCCAGCAATGGCAGAGGAAGTTGCCACACTCGATCCTTAAATATGTGAACAAAGAAATGTTTCAGAATCAGCCGTGATTTTCAGCAGTGAAGAATCCGTTAGCACCAACACCTGGGCCTACACATGAAGTCCAAAGCTTGAAGTGGCCCAGGGAAGCATTCCCAGGCCTCTGCAGATGAAAGCAACAGAGAAGACACATTCCAACAACTCTATTAATGTAGGGCAACAGCCTGTCATGAGACACGGGGACAATGTTTCCAACCTCCACCATTCCTACAGGAGCCCCAAAAGTAACTCTCATAACTGAGAACATCCTGTACACAGGGTACTGGGGATATGCACCCTTCTAACTGGGCAAAGCTTGCACAGAGCTAAGGAAAACCAGACACATCCATTTAGGAGTGACATTTACTCTGTGCCATTACAAGCACCAGTACCAGCTGCCATCCACTGCCAACAATGAAGCTCAACCAGGAAGTCAATTATCTTGCCAACCACAATTTAAAATTATCCACGTAATCAAATCAGAGCTAACACAGAGTGAAGAAAGCAGCCTGACCTGCAGTGCCTGCTCTCTTCAGGGAGCTAAACTAGGTCACAGAACAGAAAAATTGAGCCATTTCCATCTACAGAAGCAAAATGAACCTTACCAGGCTTCGATCTCTTTTTCTTTTTTTTCTTTTTCTTTGACTTGGATCTTGCATTGTCTTTGGATTTTCTCTCTTTGTTCTTCTCATGTTGTTTAACAGCTGAAATAAGACAATATTCCAGCTTAGTTTTTAAATATATATACATTTATTCTACTAATTATTTTTCTTAAAGACCTCCAGGGTTTCTTTGGACAACCAAGGCAGGTTCACTGCAAAAAAACCAAGACAACTTATTTGCAAGAATTCCCAGCTCTCAGTTAGAATGATCTATTTTATGTCCTAATTTGATTATCCGATTAACAAAATTAGAATAGCATGTGGGAGAAATCAACTGCACACCAAAGCCCATTTATTATTTACGTGCTTCAGAGACTACAAAAAAAAAGAAAGCAGTGAGGGATTTGCTATATCCATTTACAGTAGCTTTGTAACAGAAGCTTGACAAGAACAAAACCCCAACCCCCAAACTGCAGTTCAATTCCTCACTCAAACCTTTCATCTTCATTGAAAATAGAGCAGCAACTGGTTCAGCTGGCTCTGCAGTTCCCTCAACATCTGTTCTCCATCCTGTTTCCATGGCATGACAAACACACCATGATTTTTAAGCGATGGAGTGGTGACTGTCAGTCAAGCCCATCCTCAAAGCATGTTTCCAGTGCAATGCAGTACACCCCTGCTGCCAAGTCACATGCACAAACCCTTCTGCCACGTCCCCATGTGTGGTTACAACTCCTGTTTTCAGATGCAGAATTTCTAGATACACAGTTCCTTAAGTAAGTTATTCTAACTCACCTGAGACTGTAGATGCAATCAACACCTATTATGGCAAGATGCCTTCCATCTCAAAAGGGCTCCCAGTGCTGGGTTGTTTGAGCCACTCACCATCCAACTGGGAAACCTATTTCCATTCTGATGATGGGCATCAGAATAAGCACCTAAATAACACCTTATCCTGTAAGGAATCTTCTCCTGCACAAACCATTTAAGAACCCTAGCTGGTCTGTAACCACTTATGAAGCAAACCAGCAATACCAGTGTATTATGTCAACTTCTTCAGTACATGCCAACAGCAAACTCCTCTATTCACAGGCTGTGTATGTACAGCACAAACAGCTCACTGAGAAACTGCTGATCTCAGTCATGTTTTATCAGCTCTCATCAGTTCTGGTGTTTGTCCCCAACATAAGGACATGGAACTGTTGGAACAAGTCCAGAGGAGGACACAAAGCTGATCAGAGCACTGGAGCACCTTCCCTATGAGCACAGGCTGAATCAGTTGGGGCTGTTCAGCCTGGAGAAGAGAAGGTTGTGTGGAGACCTCAGAGCAACCTGCCAGGAGCTGAAGGGGGTCCAGGGAAGCGGCAGAGGGACTCTTGGTTAGGAACTGCAGGGACAGGACAAGGAGGAATGGGAATAAATTGAAAGAGGCAATTTAGATTAGCTATCAGGAAGAAGTTTTTTGCTGTGAGGGTGGTGAGACGCTGTCCCATGTTGCCCAGGGAGGCTGTGGCTGCCCCAGCCCTGGCAGTGTTCACAGTCAGGTGGGCTAAAGCCTTGAGCAACCTGCTCTGGTGGGAGGGGTCCCTGCCCAGGGCAGGGGTTGGGGCTGGATGGTCTCTAAGGTGCATTCCAACCCCTAACATACTAGATCAGGCACAAACAACTCACTGACAAACTGCAAATCTCAGTCATGTTTTATCAGCTGTGATAAGCATGCAGGGGACATGCTCATCAGCTCATCCTCAGGAGAGTCTTCAGCTCTGCATGTCTCCATACTCCTAGTCCTTAAGCATCTCCTGCTGCTCTGGAGGTCACTTACATGCCTCCCTTGGCATGCTGTTAGAAATGGTTGCTCAGTGTGTGCTGCCAGCAGCCACATCAGCTGCTGCCCCTGATGGCAGCTGATCACTCCAGTCACCTTCCTCTAAAGGCAGTAGGACTGGCAGCATATAAGCCATCTTCATCCCCTCCACTACTGTGTGTTGAGGGGGGCTAAGGAAAAAGAGGTTCCTATTTAAATGTCAGCATGGTGTTTCCAACATCCTTTTTCCTTTCCTGTCCTCATCTCCTATTCCCCCAGTGGTCTGGATCCTCTGGGTACCATTCCCTTCTCCCTGCTCACAGGGATGCAAGAGGTTCTGCCATTTTATTCTGCCAGAAGGGCAAAGAGATCAAAACAGAGGTAGAAAAACTTTGCATTTTCATTTGGGAACTGAAATTCACACAGTCAGATAGCTGGATTTGGTTTTAGATGTCCCAGAGCACAGAGTAAGCTGCTTCAGTCACAATTATCCATTATAAATATGACAGAGATTGGCACTTTGTTCCATAGTTTTCCCTCTTGTGCTTGCCTGTATGTCTTGAAATCTGGAAAAAATCTAAACAGCCAATTTCTTTGTATAGCTGTGTCCTGAACTACACAGCACAGTCAGTGAAGTGGTCCCTGGAAGACAAATCTGCACAGAACAAGTGTTTGAGTATTATCCAAGGACATTCCAAAAACCTCTACTGAAGAATCTTGTCTCAAGCTGTTTCTCACAAGCACCTGAAGTATAATGAATTCTCACTGACACAGGAACAGGTAAGGAGACTGTCTAGGTTAGGAGCATCCTCACAGATTCATGTTATCAAACAGAAATCTAAGCTGCCTTATAAAACCCTAAAAATTAGGCACCAACCAATTCCATGTTTACATCTACAGACCTAAGCATTCTCAATGCCCTTGAACAGCAGATACCCACGAGGACCAGGATGGGGACTCAGCACATCCTCCACCACTGCTGTTCATTCTCATCTCTAAATTCCACACTCTCAGGTAACACATGTCCCACTGAGTCAGAACAGTGAGGACACACTGATGGATTCCACTGGGACCTTCCTACAAGGGGGACAAAGGACGCCCAAGAACAATGAGAGGTACTACGCACTGCCTGACTGCTGTGACCAACAGAACAACACAGTGACAGGCAGGGAAAGCAATGACCTCCAGGACAAAGATCAACTGCTATAGATAATCTAACCTCAGATTTTATGTTTGTTCTCCTCATCATTCTGACTCAAATTCTCACCACATACCTGAACCAAACTGGTGATGTATAAATTCTAGATGTATGCTGGAAATTATTGCTGTATTATTTATACAGATATAAAATATTTAAATATATGCATTGTTTCTATGTCTGTGTGTGTATACATACAACCCCCCCATCCCCTGCATGGCTGTACCCACCTATACCACAGCAGATTTTAGTATGAATAGGGTTTACACTATACCACTGAACAGTCAAAGTCATGAAGCTCTTCAGAGATGTCTGGTAGGAAGAAGTGTTGAGTATCAGCAGTATCCAAATGCTGTTAACAAACCCCCCCCAGGTCATCATGCCCCACAACTGCCCCACCCCTTTTAAGTTTAGTTATCTCTAAGTACAGCATTACTTGAAATATCTAATGCTTTGGATAACCACGAGTTCAACAGAATTAGGGCCCATATATCAAGATAAGCAATAATCTTTTCATGCCCTTTAATACTTCAGCACTTTTTAACATCTTAAAAATACTCCTCACTGACTGGGAAGAACAATCCCCAATGCAGACAGCAAGAAAACTACAGTGAAAAAGCACTGCTTACGTTTCATGCTGTACATTCACACAGAATTACTCTCTCTCAAAGAAGGTATGCAGAACATGTGCTATTAATATTATCCATGCCTTACAATGCTTAAAACTCCCCCAGGCCTTTTCCAAGTTCAGCCTGCCATGTTAAACCAAAAGCCATACCATGTTCAACTCTTTGCCGAGGCCTCCGCAGAGCTCTGGCTATGTGGTTCCTGGCTTGGTCTCTAACCGAATGTCGGTGACTAGTTAATGCACTTACAGCAGCTGAAGTTCTTCTCTTTTCTACTTTTTCATCTCTATATGAGGTACTCCTTAGGGCTATGTGTAGAGGACCATCTATAAAAAGAACAAAGACCAAGTCCAAGCTTTAAACACTTTCCAAAGTCAGACTATGTCAGCAGCAGCAGCAGCTCTGGCAGCCCATGTGGAGAGTTTCTGATCAACTCACAGTCCTAGCCATGACAGAGGATAAAACCTGCAATGTTTTTGTTGAGTTTGTTGAGGGTTTTTTTTTTCCCTTCGCAAAGAAACAACAGATGCACATGCATCCCCCGAAGTCTATACTTTCAGAAATACTGTGACTTTGAAGAAAGATGGAAAGAGAAACAGTTCAGTTTGGCAGAGATATGGGTCAGGTAATTTTTATGAGTTTCTCCAAGAAACAAGGACCCTCTTGGTTTAATTAGAGGAACTACTGTTCTCAAGAGTGTGTTGTGTAAAGGGGCACACAGCAGTGGCATAAAGCAGCTCTGCATATGTAAGGAAGAGCAGTTTTTAAATACATACCACTGAAACAACAGTGTTTGAACCCAGAGTGATTAGGAAGAATTCAGGATCACTACCAAAAATTCATAAAAAACATGAGACACAGACATGACTTAAATAGCAAGTGGAATTTCAGGTAAAGCCAAGTCAAACAGTTTTACCCTCCTAAATACATGCAGCAACTCCTACTGAAAGACTCCTGGACATGGAAGAGTGGTGAAGCTAGTCAAAGCTAAGGCTGCATGGCAGGTAGGACAGCACACTGAACATGACCAGTACATTGCCATTTTGGAGGAGGACACCAGTATCCTGGTCAATAAGACCCAGCAGCCAAGGTGATAGCTGGCTGACTTTGATCAAGAATGTCCAATTCTATCATCAGAAGCGCCTCAAAAGTTTGGTGGATATGTAAGGAAACTTCCTTCTTATCTGAAGAGGAACACGTCACTTGGACACCTCTAATAAAGTAATTGTGAGTAGAGCCTGAAAAGACTGTAAACAGAAGGAAAAGAGTCCCAGAGAACATACTTAGAAGAAAAAAATGGCATGGTATTGAGCACACTGCCCTGCTCAGCATTTCAAGGTGAAGAGAAAACAAGGCACATTAAGACATGTCATTGCAGAGCTTTCAGAATCCAGTGGATCTCTTCAGGCAAAATAAACTCCAAGATGCAGAAATCTGGTGGCCATCAGATGACATTTTCCCTCATCTTCTCACTCTGAAGTTGTATTAGAACTTAAAGACAAAGAAAAAAAAAAAGGACTCGTTTGTAACTCTTCTGTATCCAAACTGTTACTTTCTGGTCACCTGCCCTAGTGCGTTACAGTGGCCACAAAGGACAGGAATTAGACCAAACCCCAACTCCCATACAATTATGAAAGTCTCTAAAACTCTAAATTAGAAAAAAAAAATCAAAAAGTCTCTAGAAGTGCCTTCTGTCCAGTCAGGAACTCCTACCTTTCACTGGGGGCTTATTCACCTCAAGAGCTGCAAGACTGCAGAAAGCAGCATGTTTTGTCCATGAAGAACTACCAAACCCAGAAGATACTCCTTGATATCACACCTTCCATTTGCAAGAGGACTAACTTCTCTTGCAGGAACGAGTATAAAGAGGTTTTGTGATGGTTGTTTGGCTGGTTGTTTTTTGATGCAGCTGGTTGGCTGGTTGGTTGTAAGTAGGTCTATTCTTTGGTAAGACTTCATGCTAACAGAATTTGCTCTTCTGAGGACTTTCATGACTAGGGGTTGAACTTGTTCAGTTCAGAGGTTGAACATCATCAGTTCAGACAGACAGAACTTTTTCCCATAGTACATGGTAGCTGAGAAATAAGATTCAGGTACTTCATCATGTTTGGGAGCATCAGTGCCTTTAACTTTCTGAAATGCAAACTGTTTGCAGCAGTACAGGGTGAGAAGTTACACAAAGAAACCCTTTTTCAAGCTTTCCTGATTGTCTACCACACAGCAATAACTTTTATGGATATTTACAGAACACCACTGCAAGGAAACCCAAAATTACAATACAAAAATCTATACAAACCAAACAACCTTCACTGAGGCCTCCTAACTTTCCCCTCTTCCAACAGCTCAACTCAGTCTCATGAATTAACACTTCATGAAAGAACCCCATGGCCACCTTGATCCCACCAGGCTTTGGGCTTCCCGTGCCCAAGATCAGTGCACACAGGCTCTTGGAACAAGTATTTTGTGGCCACCATGGGGTTTGTAGCTTTGGAGACTGAATTTGAAGGTGATTTTTGCCAAGAGTAAGTCCTGCCTTTCATGACACAAAGGCTAATATGTTTATGTAAGATTTTTCAACCACCAGGAATTGTCCTGTGGGAGGTCAAGGTATTGTATCATGTACCTGATGTATTTTTCTTCAATAACTGACAAAAACCCCCAAACAGTCATCAACAAATACGTGAAATTTTGAAACACCTTTGTTCCACTGATAGAAATGTTTAGAGAGTCTGCAAGATCTCTGAGCACTCTGAAATCTATTTTAGGAGCTGTGATTAAATTTGATGATATTAAAAAGCCTAAAAATTTATCCTCAACTTAAGGGACAGCAAACATTAAAACCGATGCCATGAAGATGCAAACTTGCAAGCCTTCCACACTTAAGTGTCCTTTTCCTCTCCTTTTATAAGCATAATTCTGACAGGTTAGTTTATAAACTTATCCCCTGAAGAACACAGAACGATTATTCATAACAACAACCAAGACCTTGTATTTAGGCATGTGACTTTTAATGTTTGCACAGCCAGATTTTCTGCACTACCACCTCCTGCAGAGTGCGCCATCTGCTCCCATCCTCTGCACTCCCCAAGCCAACCTTCACTCTCCAGGTCTCCTACTCCTCTGTCTCCACCCAGTCACAAGACAACTGTCCCATGAGGCTGCAGTGACAACAGGACCACACTCATGGAAACTCCTATTAGGAGAGCACTGGAGACTCCTATGTGTTTCCTAAACTGTCTCTTAAGGCCCCATGAAGACACCAACATCTGTGTCCCACCTCAGGCACGTCCCTAAAGATAGATAATAGTACCTCTTAACAGATACAGATATCTTTAAATTGGTGTTAGCATCCTTTAATCAATACAGGTATTTTAAACAGATATTCATATAATCAGAATTTGACAGGTTGGAATGGGCCTTAGAGATCATCCAGTCCCGACCCCCACTAGACCAGGATGTACAAGGCTTTAGCCAACCTAGCTGTGAACATTGCCAGGGCTGGGGCAGCCACAGCCTCCCTGGGCACCCTGGGACAGTGTGTCACCACTCTCACAGTAGAAACATTTTTCTACTATCTCACCTAGACTTCCCCTCCATCAATTTGAACCCATTACCCCTTGTCCTATCATTGCAGTTCCTAACAAAAAGTCCCTCTCCAGCTCCTTGTAGGCCCTTCAGATATTGAAAAGTCACTATGAAGTCTCCACACAGTCTTCTCTTCTCCAGGCTGAACAGCCCCAACTCCCTCAGTCTGTCCTCACAGGGAGATGCTCCAGTGCTCTCTGATCAGCTTTGTGGCCTCCTCTGGACTTGCTCCAACAGCTGCATGTCATTCTTATGTTGTGGACACCAGAACTGTGTGCAGTGTTCCAGGTGGGTCTCACGAGAGCAGAGCTGAGGGGGAGAATCACCTCTTTTGATCTGCTAGCCACACTCCATTTGATGAAGCCCTTTAATAGCTCTGTGATCTAAAGCCTCTTTAATCATCATTTAAATGACACAATTCTGTGCAAGCAGCACAAAAGTCTCCTGACATCCTGGGCAGTGACATTTTCATTGTTCTTTAACAGTGGCATTGTGATTAAACATCAGAGTAGATGAATTTCTAGCTCAGATTGCACTAAATACTAGTAACAGGAACAGGAGGTATGTTCATGAGGCACTGGAGGTGAAGCAGCTGATTAACTATCCCCAGCGTTCTCCCATGGAGTTCTTTCAGGCCCCTCTCCCATAAGCCTGGAAGAAGTATTCTCTTCCATATGAAGAGCTGACCCAGTAGCAGGTGAAGGATCTTAGAAACTAATCGATACAGACCCAAGATATCAAACCACCTTAAGGCTGCAGAAACCACAGGGACAGAGCTTAGGACAACTTACACCTAAGCACATCAGGGCTCAGTGACAGACAAGGCAATAGCTTCCTGTCCCCTGGAACACTGATGTCAGACCCCAGGCAAAGAGGAGCTTCAACATTCACAGGAAGCAGAGACACTGCAGTCCCAAGTGCTGGGAATCAAGCATCATTCACAGCTGTGAGATCACTTGCTGAGGATATGCACTGGTATTTTCAAGAGACAACACATCTTGACCCACAGACCAAAGGCAGTACTCTCAAACTAAGCCAAAGACTATTGGCAGTTCTGCAGAACATGGAGTGTGTTAGTGCAGATCTTCACCTGCTGCAGAGAGAAACCCTGTGTCTGTGGATCATCCCATGCCAAGCAAGGAGGCATCCATCAGCAAGAACCTGGAGGCAACAGCAAACCCCCTCCAAAGGATCAACCTGACAACCACACCACCACAGGCCAGAGCTTCACCTGTGAACAGCTACCAGTGGCAACAAGATGCCTAAGATGTTTAAGCTGTCCAAGCAAGTTTGCCAACCCTATCCATGCACAGTTCAGATCTCATCAGTACCACAAATAAGGACGAAATCTCCTTTTTCCTTACACGTATTTCTAGCATTAAGCCACTTAGGCACTAACAGGAGATAATTAACTTGGAGTAGGCAGAACTGTCTAACAATAAGGTTATGTACAAAAAATTTAAACCTACCTACAAACCATTTTTTCCTTCTTTAAGTGCCTTTTATGGACTCCACAGCAGGGACAGATTTCTACAGTCTCCAAACTACAAATTGTGGGTCTGTCTCTTTCTTTTCCTCCTCAGTGCAAAGAACACAGCAGAGCCAAGACTGGCAGCCAGACTACCTGCCAGGCCAAGGCTGCTGTTACATACCCACACAACAGAGCAGAGCTCACAATTTGAACATCCTAACTTTGAGTCTTTCTGAATGAGTGGGTTTCATTTTTTAGTAACTGTGGGAGAATTTCTGATTGCTAACAGACATGTGAGCAATCCAGCCTTGCTAGCAGGGCCTGAGCAAGCTGCAAGCCAAGCTGTTCAAGGACACTGCTGCAGCTGGAATGGGAGAAAGGAGGTAACAAGATAAGCAGCTCCTGGCTGTGGGATGCAGGAGCTGAAAATGGTTAGAGGTAGAGACCAATGATTGGGGCATTTTATGATTGATCTGTTAATAACCAATTATGCTGTGTGTAAGGTGGGCTAGTAATAGTAGTTAACCAGTGATAAGTGGGGGCTTACAATAGTGTATATAAACGAATCACTTTTGTAAATAATAAAGGTCAGTCACGAGATATTCAAGAAGGATAATGGCATTGCCTCTTCGTACGCTAACTCCCACAACAGTCAATTTCTGAGTGATAAATCTTATAGAACATCTCAATTTGAACTCTCAAAAAACTTCAGCGACTCCCTGGTGTCAGAATGATGCTGAGGAGCCAAATGCAGCCCAGGCTCAGCAAGTCTCTTGCGAGCTTTCACATCCACATCCACGTGTGCAGGTCCCAATTCTCTTTGACAGACCACTGCTGGTGGCTCTACAATGCACCTGCTGAGGTGTAATGCAACTGAGAACTGAGGGCAGGAACACCTATCTCGGACACAAACCCAACTGCCTCCTGCTCTGTAAGGACAATTCCTTCCATGAAGACCAAAGAGCAGCAATACTTGTGGTCAGTATTATAACATGAACCTGCAGGAAGAGCTGTTTCATCATAATGATCTCATAACATTTCCTGATAAATTACACCAAGAGGTACTGGCTGAACACATCCAGTGGCCACTTAATGCCTAGTCATTCTGTTAGAGTAGTAATGCATATTATAAAACACAAGCTGCAGGCAATGGTGCTTCTTCCCCTCTGTTCAGAGCCACTACACAACTTCCAGAACTATCTGTCAAATTTGCCACTGCAAAGGCAAGATCCTTCTTTGGAAAGAGGGAGACAACAAAATCAGTCCCACACTAACTTTTCCAGCTCACTCAAGCTTTAATGCCAAGTGGCACAATTTGTTTTTCACATGTTGAAATTTCAGGGTCTCCACTTTAGTGCAAAGCAATTGAAATTGTTTCTTCCTGCACCACAACATGGTGACTGAAGGGCACTTACACTCACCTTCTTTTCTGTGGGTTGAAATCCTAATTGCGAGCACTGCAAGAAAAAGGTTTTTGCTACTGTTCTGAATATTGCACAGTATCCTAGAACTTTTAGAACAAGAAGCATTTTCACTTTAAATCTAGTACCCATCCACTCCCACATTTATTGATTTTAAATTTATATGTAGCAGTAAGGAGTCTCAGAATGCTAAAACAGATCTTGCAAGATAAGGACTTAAGTGGGACAAAGCTTCTAAAGGAAGAGCATCTCCAAGTTTATGGAATAACAAGATTCACCATTGCTAGAGCTTTATCTGTTTCCTCAAGCACTAAAATCCACCTAATATAGTGAAGCACAAGAGAAGGGCATTTGCACCAAAAGGTAATATGGTTTAAATATATTCTCGTTGAACGGGAGCATTTTTGCTCACAAAAGGATTGTCAAGATGAAAAGTCTACCCACCATGTGTAGCAGCCTGAATTATGGATTCAAAGGCTTCACTCCAAGCAGAACATCTGCTCAGCCTTTTGAAAAGGTGACATAAAAGTGTTCAGTAGACACAAAGTCTTGTTTAGCAGACTGGATTCCTATACATGCCATTAAGACAAAAGAACAGAGCTTCAAATACAGTAATTTGAGCTCATAAACCCCATCGACTCTGCTTCAGACTGTGTGGTACCACCACGACACAAAGGAGAGGAATGAAGGCCACACTGAGTTACAAACCCACGGCACTTCGCATCAGGGTGTATGATGTAACCAATGCACAATGACAGCACTTTTCCTCATCAAGAAAACTGCAGTGTAGCTCCCCAACTTTGCCTCTGACCTTGTGAAGGTGACTTGAGAGCTTCTCAGCCCACCTTCCAGCACGATGTGCTGTTCAGCAGCTGTCAGCACAGCCAAGAGCTGTGTGCAGAGAGGCACATCATGGAACTGATCCAAGTGAAAAGCATCCATCCACAAATGGGGAATGAGAGGGTTCAGAGCTTAAAAAAAGCAAATATAGTTACAACTCAACACCACAAAGAACTACCTGCCAGTATAGCCAAGATGAGGACATCAAAGCAACCCTGTGAACGTGAGGGAAAGGATGAACGGAAGGCCCAAGATCCTGAAATCACTAGTCAGTACATCCAAGACAATCACAGGAAAACAACTTCTCAAATCAAAATAATTATGCAGTTGGAAAGTACCAAACAGAATTCTGGTCATGAAAAGAAAAAAAAAAGCACATGACATGCACAAAGACTGTTTTGATCACTGGGCCGCTGCCAGCAGCCAGTCTTCACACTGAGCTGTGTTCCTCAGGCAGTACTTGGGTTCGATTAAGCTGCACCAGAGTACAACACATGCAAGTTAATACATCCTAACATATCTAAAGAAAATTTTGTCTCTACCTAATACAACCTTATGCCTTTGCACTACTTAAAGATACAGAAGTATTTGGGGTTTGCATGCGAAGTGACACTGATCTCGTTAGGAACCAGCAGTAGCATCTCAGATGACAAATCATTCTGTTTGACTCACTGGGAGCCATGAAGCAAAGTAAGGGAAGATCTATCCTACTGCAGCGAGCTGGAGCTCTGTGAAAAACCTGCAAGACTTTGAAACCCTCAGCCAGAATATTAGTGAAAGATCAAACGCAAAGACAGAAAGACACCAGGAAATTCAGCAAGGAGAAAGCTGAAGAGGCTAAGTGAAAAGACAGAAGACATGGCTAGTTTTAGAGACCTGCAGGACAGAGAGACATCAGTCCACAAGAGCAAAAGTTTGGACAGGTTATCAACAGCACCACCGCAGCTGCCACCAGACAGACTGCCCCTCTGGAGCCAAGCCAGGCACTGGGCAGAAAGCACTTCAGAGAACGAGGGTGAAGCAGAAGTGAACGTGGTTTTGTGACTGTGAAGTAGTTAGAACTTACACATTCCTTTATTTGTTGATAACAATTACATTTTAATCCCTTTCCATTCCCCATCTGTTGTGTGAGTATCTTTTCCAAGCATAGCTGAAATAATTGCATTTGTTAAACTAGGACATTTTTCCCCCCCCAAAACAGTAAATACTGCAGGAACTGGTACTGGATTTCTAGCCAGGTATATGCCTGAAGGCAGACCATGGAATGTAAAGACCAAGGAAGAAATCGGAGAGAACTGGATTTACCCAGACTGTTTCCCTGATACAGAAAAGCACAAAGTCTTCAGGCAATACTTTGTCAAGTTAGAAGAAAAATAAAGTCAGAAACTCAGGGAATTTAGTTTTTCAGAAGGAACAGAGCTGCTACAAACAAACAAGAGGAGCTGCAGAGTGGGTTCATTACCAGAACATGATCTGTACTTCTAGAAGAGGGAATTTCTTCAGTGTTATCTTCTCTAAAACATGATACCACACGTATTATGCTTCTTCTCCACAGAGAAATACGCTAAGATAAAGCCTTAAAGAGACTCCTTCAGCCCCGAAGAAAACTGATATCTGCTCTTCTCCACCTGCCCCAAGGGCTGCTGTTTGAAAAAAGGAAGAGATCAGCACCATACTTACACAGTGACCCAGCTGTGCTCCGTCCTCTCTTTGACCTTTCTTGATTAGCTTTTTCAGAAGCCAAAGAAGCTCTGGTTTGAATATTTCTTTTTACAGGGTTCTGCTGTGCTTCTGCAGCCTTCTCCACTCCATGAAAGTATTTCATGTGATAATGTAACAGCTTGGCTTTGCGGAAGGATTTGGAACAGTCCAAGAACTTGCATCTAAACTTGTTATCTTGGTCAACAGCTGCAGCTTTTTTTGACGCAAGAAAATCTGTTCTCCTACAAGGTTTTGTTACTGTAAGAACAAAACAGAAAAATTCCCCCATGCATTTGCTATATTTATCAAATGGTATCCTAAATGTAAAATGATCAAAAAAAGTTAAGCAAGCATGCAAACATGTTAGCTGGGAAATCCTAGAAATAAAAGGGTAATGCTTTACCTGCCTTCTAGATCAACAGCTTTGAAGGGAAAACCCTGCCCTACACTGCTCTTAAACTGGTTGCCATGACACCATTGTTTTTATAAGTCACTGTTAGAAAACACTTTGCTTCCCTGAGTCCCTTGACCAACAGTTGATGCCACCGTCTAGTGTTCCTAGAGACACGAGACAGAGACAACTTGTGTGATTCAAAGTCACAACACTGAAGATTGTGTTCTATAAAGTATTTACTTTGTTTGAAACTGTTCACATCTTTGGTGGAAGCACTTGTGCTGCTTAGCTTACCATTATTTTGCCACCTGCTTCCTGGGTGCACTGTGCCACCACCAGAACCTGTCACTCCCAAGGACAGCCCAAGCAGCATGTCAGAACACCATTTTCCAAGTAAAATGGAAGTTTATTTCAAGCAAAAGGAAAACTGCATTACAAAATGTTCCCTATGAGCTACAGTTAGCTAAGCTTCTCAAAACAAAAAGAAAGCAGCAAGGCTTTTTTTTTTTTTTTCTTCCATCTGGGCCTCATGGCCCAGATGGAAGAACACTGAGGCATCGATTTCGCAGAGCCCTGCTGTGCAACCCAGGGCTGTATCTGAACTGACCTGGTAAATCCCTACTTCTTGTTTTACCATTTCAGAAACTTTTAATTCATGCTTTTGCTAAGAAACATACAAAAGAAACATTTTTAACTCAGAATAAATCAAATGACTGGCACCAGTATCTGGACCCAACACAACACAGAAGTGAAATTTAGGCAACACTGAGATATAGAGAGATCTATGTGTCTATCGATCACTAGTACACACACAGCAAACAATCCCTCTCCAGCTGGAAGACAATGGGAAGCAGTTGTCATTCCTAAAACATAACTTCCAAACACAATTTTTCCATTTATCAGTACTAAAATATTATTTCCATATTTACAAGGATTTTCAACTTGTAGAATTACGAAAGAAGTGTTTCAAGGCAAGACAGACCCAGACCTAGTAACAGTGACCAAAACTGAAGGTATGCAGCATCTGTCTGTATTAGAAGCAGCTGAAAGCAAGGGCAGAAAGCACCCAGAAACATTAAGAACAAGACTTTCTGTAAGTGCACACATGCAGGAAGGCAGCAAGTGTTAGAGGTGGTATCAGCATCGCCCCGGAGTAAGTACACAGGACAGCTTGTTACAGCATGCAGCAACAAAAATGGTTTTACTGAGCTGCAGACCAAAAAGTTATATCCCAGTGCAGAGGAGTATCCCAGATAGCTGTGTCTGAGGCACGCTCAGCTTTCCAGTACTGTGTCTTCACAAAGAAACCAAACACAAAGAACACACAAGTAATGGCACTGTGGAGGCTGATGGTGGCGACAGGAAAAGATTAAGTCATACGCACACCAGACTGGTTAAAAGAAAGAACAGTCAGTGAACTTGGAGAAAATAGCACAGACAGTGCTTTTGGGTGTTTCACAGAGGTAACAGCCAGGAGGAAGCCACTGTGGCACAGCCATGGGCAGAACGTGCTGACAGGGCCATCAGTGAGACTGCAGCAAAGGCAGAATACTGAATCACACCTGCAGAATCACTAAGTGTGCCAAGTGCAAAATAAAAACACACTGTAGACCATCCAAAGCAGCATTCAGCAAGAATGGAAAAGTATTCCAGCAAGAGTCAGTGCAGTGGTTTCATGAAAGCAAGCACAGAAAGGTTCTGACTGTAAAGCTAAAATAGGAATGCTGAGAACTTGTTACTATTTAGTAATAGCTAACATGAAGAAGGGGAAACAACTGCACCGGAAGGGAGTAATGGGGTCCAAAGACTTTAAAAACAAAACAATCACAAAGATGACAAGGGAAGCTATTCCACCATCACACAACTACTAGGATGAGGCCCTGCATCCAAGTTCACAGCATTTCTCCTCCTCTGAGCTGGACAAATGCTGGAGAAGATACAGGGAATGGCTTCTAATTGATCAGCTACAACTGAGGAGGACAGGATTCTGTTAGCTGAAGTTTACAAACAGACATGGGGCAAGGAAAGGAAAGCAGACAAAGTTTTTTGCTGCAAAGTACAAAAGGAATATATTCAGACTAATAAAAACACAGACAGTCCCACACAGTTAAGCTTAAATTATTCCCATCATCACCACGTTTGGGGGCATTTTCCTCCTTTACAGGGAACACAACAGAACTCCACATCTCTAGGGCACAGCAGGAAGCTGATACCCAGCTCTGGCACCCAGAAGAGCCTCTGGAGAGCCCATGCACTTGCCTTTTCAGAGCAGCTTGGTGGGTGTTTTCTCTGGGTACAGATGAAAGTGAATGCCAGATCCATACCTGCTATTTCTTCCATGTTTATAATCAAAATTGCAACACTCCTCACCTGGCTTTCAGTTAGCCATTACAACATTAGGCAGAGACACACAAGGTGAAACATCTGTGTCTCCTTTAACTTTCATTAGAGAAAAACAATCCTTTCAGTGTTCCAGTTAGCAGCCCCACTCTCACTTCTCACTGGGCTGAAGTACCCAAGGGTCAAGCTATGACCACAGTCAGCAGTAAGTTCACAGTAAAATGCATAGCGTGAAGATTCCAAGTCCACCAGAGACCTTTTTTTCCCCACCATCACCAATTCTGACTCCTGCTGGGACAGGAGCATTTGGCAGCTGCACAGTACCCTGACTGCAGGTTTGCCATCCTGCAGCATCTCCTGCAACCCCCAGCGAGCAATCCCAGAAAGCCACAGAGCACAAAACCCTTCCCACTTTCCCCCAGTTAAAGCTGGCCTTGCTGCAGCTTCGAGCCATCAGATCTCCACACACCTGTTTCTCAAACTGAGGAGACTTCCCATGTCTATTTCCTGTCTCCAAAGACATATTAAGTGAATATCAAATTATTTCTGCACCTGCTGTGAAACTAAGCACATTGAGACTCTCTAGAACAGACATCCTCTGGTGCATTATCTTCATGACTGTTACCATGACCTTCATTGAGCCGAGAGTTTTCACACTGTGCTTTGGACCACTTCACATCACTAGGCCAGTGGTCTCATTAATTAGTTATTTCTTTCAACCTATTCCTTCTGAAATCCTGTGGTGTTTTCCCTGAGCCCACCAGGTGTTGCTGTGCATTATTTCAGCACTCCATTTCTTCCTTTATTTTCAAACCCCTCTTTCTTTCAAGATGTCAGTTGTGAAACACAAACCATCTTGCCTAACTGCTCTTCTCAAGCTGCTTTAGGTAAGGACAGCATCCAAGCATTTCCAGTGCATCCAGAATCCACACCAGGAGATGCCTGGTCTAAGAAATACACACAGCATCAACGATCACAGAGCAGTACATTTTATGAAGTTGTGATTTTCTGAGCTTCTAACTTAACTTGGCATTGCAAGAACTACTCAAGAAGCTATTTCCTATGATCCTCCACTCACCATTTTCTCCCTGTGCTGGCACTGAACTGGTAGCAGAAGTATTGCACCTGCTCTACATATGAGAGGTTACCTTTCACCTTGAATTCCATATTGGATTTTGGGGGAATCCTGTATGCAAACACCCCCTTCTCCCACCTACACCACCCACTCTGACAAGGCACTTCTCCCCTTCCCAAGCCCCAAATCTCTTTAGCACACATGGCACACCAAGAACACATCTTTCTGACACACAGTTGTCAGATGTGGAGACGTGTAACCATACCCTTGATAATCACCCACTAAGTGCGATCACTAGATGCTCTCTAAGGTCCGTTCTAGTCCCTTACAATACTATGATACCACCTCAGCTCTCAGGTCTTCAACACCAGCTATTTTCAGGACAGCATGCCCAGGCTCTGTCACACACCAACCCCTCCACAAGAATAGGAAGCCACTGGCAATTTCTGGAGCCACTTTCAGCACCCACCCAGAGGTCTCTGTTCCCATCACACTCCTGCACACACCACCACTACCAGGTGAGAGCCCAAGCCTTGCTGTTCCCCCATCAGGCAGCTCATCAGCACTGGGGAGTACTGGTATGACCCCATGAGCAAGGCAGAGCACAGAGAGGAAAACACAGATCCACTTTTAAATCCAAAGGATTAATCTGTGATAGAATCCCTGGATTTTGAAATTCCTGTCTCATAAAATATTCATTAATAACATTTTTAATGTTGTCAAGCATGGAAAGCTAGATTTTTGTAGCTGAATTTCAAGTGACAGCATTTACTCAACAAGACCCTGTAGAGTCTTTATTGCCCATCCCTAAGAGCTCTCCCCAATAAAAACACCTTCTTGCCACATCTGGCTGTCCACCCAGGTGCATGGCTTCCATTTCTAATGTTACATGAGACAGCTTCAATGAAACTAAACAAACCTCACGTTCAGGAGTGTGTCTTTTCACCTACCACCACAGTGTGGCATTTCAGGTCACAATTCAACATGTGTGCATTAACCGAATTAACTTTGATCCAGTCAGGTCCTGACACAAGTGGCAGCAACAAGAGTGCAAAGCTTCACCAGAGCCTTTGGGGAGGTGTGAGCCAAGCCATGTTCCCACAGCTTTCCTGACAGGATCCAATGAAGAAGGCCACAGCCTGCACATCCCATTAGTGTGGCTGACACCACACACACAGGAATTCCACATTCAGCTGGAATTCTCCCCAGTTTAAACCCAAATGACAAATGCTCAGCAATAGCTGACACTTTGTCTACATACAGCTGTCATGAGACATCAGAAGTCAGAGGGAAGCAGTAACGTCCAAGAGATATCCAAAGGGTTCTCTGAGCTGCCCATGGCACACCAGCACTACACTGCTGCCCTGCCTCAACTACTGCCACAATTCTGCTCCCAAACGGTGAAACAGAACTGAGGAATATCACCTGATAAATTTCAAATGTACAAGTGAATTCCCCTCCCTACATCCTCCCTTACAAAACAGCATCTCACCCCAACACGCATTACACATGTCCAGGCCAACAAACCCAGTCACTGGCGAGCTGCAGTGTTCAGCTCAGGCACAACTCAAGCGTGCAAGCAGGGGAAAAAATGTCTGCTGCTATTTTAACTTAAATCTGTCAACTGTTTCCCTAAAGCTTTTTCATGGAAGGAGATTTCCCCATCAGCAACAGATACACAAAGAAGCAATGTTATTACTCAACTGAGCCTCTTCTCTCTAGTTTTCTTTCACAGTCACTAGAAGTGATTTGTTTGCTGTAACCCTTACCCCACACTGCTGAGAATCATGGAATCATTTGGTTTGGAAGGGACCCTAGAGTTCATCTAGGTCCACCCCCTGCCATGGGGGGGGACAGCTGTCACTAGCCCAGGCTGCTCCAAGCCCTGTCCAGTCCGGCCTGGAACACTCCCAGGGTTGAGACAGCTTCTCTGGGCAACCTGTTCCAGTGTCTCACCACCCTCACAGTCAAGAATTTCTTCTTAAAATCTCATCTAAACCTGCCCTCTTTTAGCTTGAGGCCACTGCCCCTTGGCCCCATCCCCACCCTCTCCCAGGCACCACCTCTCTCTCCTAACACAGGTTCACACACCATGGACCTTTGGATGTGGTTACAACCCTCCCCCTCAGAATGTACTAGCTCTCACTACATCACAGCTCTAAACTCCTGTCCCCAGACTCATCTTTCAAAAGACAACTTCTCTGAAGATGATCACACACTAGAAACTAACTTTTCATTTTGCAGTTACTTGAAACAGATATTGTGAAACACCTTGGAAAGCTCTGCATCCTCAATTAATACCCTAAACATAAGGATATAAAAATGCACAATCAGGATTCCCAAAGAGCAGTAACAGCAATGTTACCACACACCTGCAGCAGACAGGACACAAGAACCTGACCTTTCAAGGGGTTAGTCCAACTTAATCCATAATTACAAACACTGAAAACAAGCATTTGTTAACTCCATCACTCAGGCTAAAAGCATTACACTCATTCATTTAAAAATTATGATTTCCACTGTCCATCTACAAAGCATGAGATTAAAATGGAGGCCACAAGAACAGAAATGGCTACCATGGCTCACACTGCAAGAATGCACAGTGGTTGTTAGGAACAGCTGTACAAGCAGACAACACCTGGCACCAGCTGCCTTAAAAAATGCAGCAATATTAAACATGAAAAATCTGAACCTGTGGCAGCAGAAGGTTCTTGAGTTCTGACAGTAACAGAGGAAGACTTGGTGTCTTCAGCTTTCTCTTCCTGCAAAGTGGCATCTGTATTGAGTGCTGTGCTCTGCGACGTGCTTCCAGGTGATCCTTGTTCACTGAAACTTTGGTCAGATTCAACAGGAATTTCTAACTGGACTAGAAGGAGGAAAAAAAGATTTCCACTGAGTAAAATGCACACAAAAGCATACTGCAGAGCACTGGGGGGTGTGTTCATCACAGTACAGTGGAGAAAAATACCCAACCCTGCTCAGACTGGTTGCTCTTGGATTCACACATCTTCACAACCCAGCTACTTGCAGCAACCCTCTAAACTTCGAGCTGCTTAGAAACACACAGGCTAACTCACTGTTCATAGCCCAAAACTGGACAGGCCTCAAACCACTATCAGAGCTCCCCTGAGAGGGAAAAGCAGTGAAGCACAGGGCAGAAAAAGGGAGTGCTATCTCCACCCAGTCTAACAACCAAAGTATCCCATTTGAGGCTCTCAGGGTTCAACAAAAGGACTAAACTAAGTTCAGCATTTGGGTTGTTACTACTTCAATCTGAAAGCTTAAAAAGTTTCTAACTCCCTCATTTTCACAAGCATAAACTGCAGTCCCTAAAAAACCAAAACCAACCAACCAAACAGAAACATAACCCCCCCAAAAGCCCCCACAAATCCGAAACAAACAAAACCAACAAAACCCCATCTCAAACTATTTCCCTGGTTATTTTACAAGCTATGGAGCTCTTCTTTAGCAAGGCCAGTTATCCCAGCCAGTTAGCCCTCTACTGGAACAGCTCCCAAGGGAAATGCCAGGGTTATGACAGAGTGAGAATCAAAAGCCAAAGGCAACCAAGACAGTAGAGAAAAACAAACTTTCCTTGAGTTCTCCCTGCACTGCTGATGCAATCAGGTTTTAGTGGCAGATACAGAGCCTGCAGGCTAGGCAAGTGAAAACAGAGCCTGCAACAATTAGATGAGCACCTCACCACACAAACCCAGAGTACACTGGGAAGCCACTTACCCTTCTCAGATTGATTTTGGTTAGATGCTGCATCTTTCCAAGGCTGAATTTCTGTGGAGGTTGTGACATGCTCTGTATTTAAAATCTCATGACTAATACTGGAGGAGAGCCTTGAGGATCGTCTCCTGATCTGGTCTCTCTCAGCATTATCTGAGGAGTTCTTAAATTTTTCCTGAGCTGGAACAGACACACATTATGGCATCATGTACTTATAGGATTACTGAAGTGTACATAAACAAACCTGAAAGTTGTTCCCTCCCTGTGACCGTCTGAAAACCTGTTTAAGGACTGAAGTTAACAGCAAAAGCTAAAAGGCCTGGGTGGTTAGGCCTCCCTTCGTAAGAGTTATAAACAAGCATTAAAATACAGCAAAAGACTGTCTTACAGAGCTCTCACTTTTTTCCTCTAGTAACAGACCTGAAGCATGAAAACAGATCAGTATCTTACTGGTGTAATATTACTGTGAACAGCAGCTGCTCCACAGATGTAAGTAATACCAGGAGTGAGAGGAGACAATTCAAACAAGTGCAGCCCTGAACTGGCTAATGTGCACACACTCAGGTTTTAAGACTTTGTGGTCATAAGGAAGGATTTCTTCAGCTCTCCATCTCCTTGGTTGTGATGTTACTACAGAGAACATAATTTTCTTTCCTTATCAACACACTCAAGATGTTCAGCCTCACCACACCAAGACGAAGTAGAAGCTATATGACTGCAGCGACATTAATATTTGTGTAGTATTGAAGTGTCTTCGCTAAGCAATGTGGCAGATCCTCCATGTAGTAACTACAGAGTTCCTGCAACTCCTAACAGAATCCCTGCCCCCCTCCTCTACACTCATGAACTTCTGCCTCAAGGCTCACAGCTTACACCTCCTTTATCCAAACCCAGCTTCCAAGATTTAGGATGGAGTTCCAGCACAATGATGTTTCATAGGAAAGGCCAATTTAAGAAAAACATTTCAGCAAACGCATCTGTCACAGTTCAAGGTTAACACTACAGACCTGACCCACTCCTACCCCTCCCTTATGCTTGAAGAACTTGCACATACAAAATTCATGAAGAGTTGAGTACTAGGAAACACTCACACAAGTTTTTGTCAATCCTAGGACGCTTTGATGGGACATCACCTCCTTTGGGTATTTTCCGGCGTCTTAACTCCAAAGTGATAGGCTGCAGCGTCTGGGAATTTGACTCTGAGTGTTTAGACAGAGGAGAAAAATTGACTGGATACAAAGGTGTGAAACTCTTCAACACAAATTCCCAAGTCTCACAACCTGCAATACTGGACTTGCAGATGAAGCTGTATTTACACCTTTCTGATGCCCACACAGCAGCACTTACTCCCACTGCAGGCAATGCTTCCAAATACATGAAGGACACCTGCCTAAATCTCATCTCTGACCAAACCACTGAGCCTCCAACCCTGACAAGTCTGCTCTTGGCTGTCTTAACCAAGCCTGAAGAAAAATGAGCTTAAAATTCTTTACAAGTTTCTAGAGACTTAGGCTGTGACAGAGCAAGCTACTCCTCACTCCTTCAGGTCAGTTTAGAAGTGTTCTGCTGCATAGCCTGAGCATTTCAGCCTGGCTCCATACCTGTTGGGGGGGTTACTGGAGGTCTGCCACGCTTCCGTTTGGTTTCTTTTGTGTTTTCCTGTGGACTCTTCACATTGTCATTCTCAGGCTTCTTCTCAATTTGTGTATCTACTGAATATTCCATATCATTCTCTGATATATTCTCTTTATCTTCTTTTCCATTCTTAGACAGATTCTTTTCTGAGACCTTGCCTTTTTCAGAGATGACTATGAACTTTCCCTCTTTATCAGGCTGCTTCACTCGTTTCTCAGTCTTTAATGTCTTTTCATCCTCGTCTTTCTTGGCATTCCCTGCTGCTTTCCTCTGCTCTTTAAACTTCTCCCGGTTTTCAGGAGATGACGGAATTTCATTACCTCTTTCCTTAGGCTTGGCATCACCCACAACGTTCTACAATAAAGAGAATGACACGTGAAAATTAACCTGCTGCAGCCAAAGTCACCCCTTGCCTCTGTATTCAACAGATCTGCATCCTTGCCCATTTTTTCCAAGAATAACAGTACCTGCTCTATTGCAACCCACAGATCAGAACTCAGAGACACCCAGCCAGCTGAAGGATCTGCACAGTGTCAACAGGACAGTGCAGCAGATCCATTCTTCACAACTCTAGGGCGGAAGAAATCTGCTGTTCTTTTGTTCTCAGGTGCAGGGTGGGTCCCTACTAGCTTGTGCCTAAAGCCTACTGGGGACACTGCAGAAAGAGTGGGAGTCAGGAGCACAGAAGGGGGCAAACAGCTCAATCACTTGAATGTGCAACCTGTTCCCCTTTCACAGAAGGGTGTCATTCACAACAGATCTACTGTTAGCTTGTACTTACCACTGCTGCTGAAACTGCCCAGCAGAGTACAGCAGCCACAATCACCAACTTCATCAAGAACCATATAATGTCAGAATCTACATTTAAACTTAAAAACTTAGCTATAAACTGTCTCTGTAAGCTGTGTCAGCGTAAGGACATGAAAATCCCTGGCAGTCGCTGCCCAGCAGGCTACTGATGAAATATTCAGCTGCAAATCTCATTTCCCCATAGTTCTTAATAGATAGCCCCAGACCAGGAAGACCACCCTGTATCAACAGATCACTGCTACTCCCTGTCCTTCCCCTTTTGTGAGCAGATCTCATGCTAACCCACCAGGGAGTGGGGGAGGATGATATACACTGATTCTGTGGCTTTCCCCTTCCAGTGATCCTGCTACAATTGTCCCAGATGAACAAAAACCTTCTAGCTTTGCACCTGGGTTAATAGTTTATATTTGGTCATGTGTCAACACTGCTTTTAGTTCAACTAACTTCTCTCTTCCTGTTGCCTAATAACGTGAACCATTAAAGAGCAAACATGCTCCTTTCCAGACAGCTCTGCAGGGCACAATTAGCTTCAACTTTGAACCAGGATCAGAGGACAGGAAAGACTAAATGCCTCAAGAGCTCTTTGGGGAAAGAAAATGCAACTGCTGGATGGAGTTATATAACATCCTGAAAGATGACTCACTATCTCCTCATCCTGCACTACATCTTGCTTCTTTGCACCCCAACCCTCCTGTCTGCATGTGCCTTACACAAACTGATCTTCGATGGCATTTTCAGACCACAGCCCTAGGAAACAACCTTGATGCAACAGAATGGTGAATGTGCAATCTCCTCCATACTCTGTGATTATTATTTCAACCATACTTGGTATAGACATAATCAAACACCAAATAATCAGTGTTTAAAACTGTGAAATCAAATTGTACTGTATTCATGAAAATACGCAAATGAGAAGTCCTTCACCTTTTTAGATGTCTGAGCATCGCTTTTACCAGACATGATAAAAATCTGACTTCTGTAAATTCCTGAAATGCCACAGCTGTGGGACAAGCTCAAATATCAGTAAAAAACACCTCATAAAACAACCCTTAGGCACTATGCCTCAGCACTTGTGCTGCTCACAGAACCATCTAACTAAATCAAGTAGGTGGCACTGGAACACTCAGGCCATCTTAGTCAAAATAAGCTCAAGGAACTGAATCAGGAATACAGGTATGTCTGCATTATTTCTTGATGTTACTAAGCTCTTAAATGCTGTGTGTCTTGGCATCTTGGCATCACTGTTCAATACAGCCTGTTACACTCCCCACACAGGGACAGGGTCACACTGGCACTAAAGAAAATATGACCAGCTTATGTTGCCTCCTTCAGCAGTCTGGTGGGTTTGGAGCCTTCCTTTATTCCTTAACAACTATCGAGTGATGAGCCATGTGTGTCCTCACGGCTCCCGTCT